TCCAGACTCGCAGGATCTGAAAAGACCAGATCATGGAAGCTGAGCATGACTCTCGCATCGTGGGACACGTTTGTGAGATACAAGACGGTAGGCAGGGTTAGGGCTAACTCTTTTGGCCTAAGATGGATGAGAGCATTTCGGACTATGTTCGTACATGTGATGCCTGTCAACGGAACAAATCCGTTAAGCATAAGAAGTTTGGCTTGCTGGAACCTGTTGGTGTACCCTTGAGACCCTGGACGGATATCTCAATGGACTTCATAGTAGCACTACCGGAATCAGAGGGGTATACCAAAATTTGGGTAATCGTGGATAGATTCTCAAAGATGGCACACTTCATACCTCTGGCCACAGAAATCCCGATAAAGGATATGGCCCTGATATTCCTGAAGGAAGTTTGGCGGCTCCATGGGCTCCCAGAATCTGTTATCTCCGACCGAGATAGCCGATTCACATCCAAGTTTTGGATGAGCCTGATGCAACAATTGCAACTGAAACTACGGTTCTCGACCGCTTTCCGCCCTGGGACTGACGGGTAGACTGAGCGGGTGAACCAGACCTTGGAACAATACTTAAGAAATTATTGTTCATATCAACAGGATGATTGGGCATCGCTGCTACCTTTAGCAGAGTACGCATACAACACATCCACTTCGGAGTCCACAAAGTTGTCTCCTTTTGAGATTAACTATGGTTTTAACCCAAGGACCAACTGGTCGGGTGCAGTCTCGGAACAGCAAGGTATTCATCCCAGTAGGGAGCTGTTGGTAAAGAACTGGGAAGGTGTCTGGCAAGAAGTCCGAGATACACTTAAGCGAGCTCAAGAGAGACAACGGAAATGGCATGACCAGAAAAGGTTGCCATCACCGGAATATGTGACGATGGAAGATGTAACTAATAGCAGGGCAAAGAAAGCTGATCGCGTGATGCTAAATCGAAAGAACATCCGCACTAAGCGCCCTATGGAGAAGCTAGACCACCGAATGTTTGGACCCTTCGTGGTCAAACGTAAGGTTGGAAACCGAGCTTACGAACTCCAATTGCCTGCCCGTTGGTCAATCCATCCGGTATTCAATGTCGGACTCTTAGAACCCTATCGTGAAGACCTTAGTGGTAGAAGAACTAAAGAAGTTCCTGTCCCTGAGATAGTAGACAATGAGCCCAGCTACGTTATCGAAGCAGTTGTAGATAGTCGATGGTACGGCAACATGAAAGCGAAATTTCCTAATCGCTTTGTGCAGTACTTAGTTTCATGGGAAGGTTATGGCGCAGAGGAGAACTCTTGGGAGCCATATGAGATGCTAGAGGGCACCGGCTTACAAGCCATGAAGGATTTCCATCATCGGTATCCCCACAAACCCCGAGACCATAGGGTTGAAGGCGAACCGAATAAGGGAAATAAGAGACGACGGTAGCGGACCGGGTCGGTCCTTAGAGAAGAGGGGAGTGATGTAACGACCCTACATTATAGAGCTATGGCAACCTAAGTCTACGCCCATATATAAGGCCTAGAGGTTATATGGTAGACTAGGCGGGCATGCCTGAGCATGTCCGAGAGATGCCCGTTGGTCCGGGTATCTCGAAGAACAGAAGGTACTTAAGATATAGGTGTACCTAAGTAGCGGAAGTAACGTGACCACATCGGTTTCGGCCTAAGAATAGGTCGGAAGGCCGGGTGAGTTTGCCCTGTCTAGGTAAGTCACGTTACCCTGCCATGGAGACCGGCTTCGTGTCACCATGGACATACTTACCCTACCTTTGGGACACTATTACCCTACCTTCCGTCGGAAACGTTCTCGGAAAGATTCCGTGTAATGTTAGGATTGTTTGTTACGCAATGACGATCGACGGGCACTTGCTTGTATATTGATCGGAAGACTACGGGAGGAGCTAGAGTGCTCCGAACATGCTGTAACTTAGCGGGATGATTCCTAACAGGTACCTGCGGCCCCAGGGTTCGCCCCGGGCGTCATGGGCCAAAAGGGGTGGAGTTGCCGTTATGCTAGTTAAATGGAATCTATGAAGATATGTCCATAACACTGTATGCGTCGTCGCCGTCCGTCCGACCGGAAGCTGTTCGCAGGGTATATAAGGGGGCCAAGGTGAGAAGGTCAGGTACCTTCTCCAAAAAGAACGGAGTAAAACGGACCAAAACTGACGGAGTTAGCGTGAGCTATCCAGAAGGGTCCCCAGAGTAGTCCCGGGTAGTGCCGGAGACATCTGGGAAGGTTTTACGCCAATCAAGCCTACACGTGCCCCTTTGCCGTAGGCTCTTTGTGGGTTGTTTGAAGACTCTAATAGCATGACACTTATCTCGGTGAGTGGTGTGCCGGGGGTAAGGGACCATGGGTAGCGCCTATGGGTCCCGCGGCCGACACAGCTCTCCGCGGGAGCGTCGTAGACCCCCCAAGTTCGCAATCAAGAAAGATAGAACTTAGCCGGAAGACAGCTGATGTCTACGAGTGCTTGTATAGGTCATAGCATATGGGAAGAGAGTCATTTAGTTAGCTTTCCTAAGGCCCTGTTCGGTTGGAACGGTTGCCTTCCGTTCCCCCATACAAATGACCGTTCCCTTCCGTTCCCCTTCCGTTCCAAAATTTGCAAACGGAACTGGCGTTTGGCAAAACCCTTCCGTTCCAAAACAGCTGTTACAGAATAGTCACCTTGCCATTCAACAACACCCATAATACTATTGTTGCTTTGTAGAAATGCCATATGAAAACTGTTATCAAATTGTAGCTTAATTATTTTTAATACTGATGAATATTCACACCTCTCCAATGGAAACCACCAACACAATTCCAATAATGAATAATGCAATTATTCAAAGGCGGATTCAAATTGCTATCACTATTGCACTTTATGCTCATTTATTTCTTTCAAACCAGCCAGTACATACATCTATCCGCTCAGGTCACCAATATACAAATGAAATTCTTCATGCACATCCACGTCGTGTACTTGAACTTATCCGAATGCCTATTACGACTTTGTTAGATCTTCGTGACTGGGTTATTGAACGTGGGCTCCTTCAAGCAACACGTCATGTCTCTATTAAGGAGCAGCTTATCATGTTTTTATTGATAGTTGGTCATGGAAGGAAAAATAGAGAGACACAGGAGGTGTTTCAACATAGTGGGGATACAGTCTCACGGTAAGTAGATCTTATATTGGAAAATAATAAATTTTAATATATAACATGCTAATAATAAATTAGACACTTTCACCGTGTTTTACAGGCTCTACTACCATTGTATGAGACCTTCGTTCGCCCTCCAGCTGATAATATACCAGCCCGGATACGTAAAGACTGGGGAAAGATGTCTCATTTTAAGAATGTTCGAGGAGCAATCGATGGCACACATGTGTTGGCTCATATTCCAAGCCAATATCAGGCTACATATCGGAACCGTAAGGGTGTTATCACCCAAAATGTACTGGCCGGATGTAGTCTGGACATGTACTTCTTTTATGTTTGTCCTGGATGGGAAGGTTCAGCAAATGATGCTCGCCTGCTTGAAAACGCGGAGCTTAACGGATTTCCCAGAGCTGAAAATGCTGTCTACCTAGCAGATGCTGGATATGGCCTCAGGAAAGGTTTTCTTACACCCTATCGAACTGTACGGTACCATCTTCGAGAACAAGCTCGTGCCCGCCTCCGTCCGCAAACCAAAGAAGAACTATTCAACCTCCGGCATGCTCAACTTAGGAATGTTATTGAACGAATCTTCGGAGTTCTACGCCGCCGATTTCGTATACTTGATACTGCTCCAGAGTACACCATTGATGTTCAGGCAAAGTTGATTCTAGTTTTATGTGCTCTGCACAACTTTATTCGCCATTGTGCAAATGGCCAAGAGGATGAGTTTTACCAGGAAATTGATGTTAATCAGAATGATATGGACTTGGATAAAGATGATGAGTTGGACTTGACTGATAATATTGAGCAAATTCATGGTAGTAGTCGAGCACAGGATATGAGGGAGATGGCAGAAGAAAGAGACAGACTGGCTACACAGATGTGGATTGACTATATAGACTATAAGCACAAACACAGATTTAGCTAGCTAGTATAATACAAGTGTCAAGCCTGACGGCTTTCAATTTGACCTCTGAGCCACATTTCCTCGTCTTCTCCCCCATCAAGAGCCATAAAAATCTCTGCCTTAACAGAATTTTCAAAAATTGCATATCCAGCAAGAATATCAGCTGTTGGCCAGCCTGCTTTCCCTTTATAATTTTCCCGAAGTTTTGTGACCGCCTGTCCGACGATAGATGTAGAAGTTGGAAGGGCTATAGGGGTTGCAATCATCTTCTCGATGACATTCACAAGACGGGCTGAGGGAGTGTCTATGCGTTGACGAATACGGCCTAAGGGCATCAACAGGGTGATATCATCAATCTTCCGTCTCTTGACTGCATTGGTATTCTCAGCAGCTTCAGTATGATCAGAATCAACCTGGTCGTCTTCGTGTATGGTAGATTCAATATCGATCGGTTGTTGTTGGCTAAATCCAGCTCTGCGATAGATCGCCCCACGTCCAGTAGCCTGCATACCTTCCAATATCTCTTCCAATTCTGCAACATTCCCCATTGGCTTATCTCGAAACTCGCGGATTGCTGGTTGTCTTTGGATCTCGGCATTCCAAACATCATCTGGTGCTGTCACTGTACCCATTATTGGGTCAAATCCAAATCCACTCATTCCCTTCAATCTTGTCCAGATCTTCCATTTCCTTTTCAAGCTTTCCAGTTTTCCCTGACATTTGTCTCCAGTGAGAAGCACTCCATATCCAGATACAGTACGAACAGTATCCGCAATCTCATTCCATACCTCCATTTTGAAACCGTTATCAGACCTTTTCCCGCATCGGATTGCTTGAATGAGCTCACGCAATAAAACAGTTGTCATTTCTGGTGACCAGTCGATAGGCCGAGCGGGCGGCTTTCGTTGCTTTGATATCTTTTGGCCAAAGGATGATGGAACCACGGGCTTGTCAGAAATAATAATAGGATTCTCAGGGTTCGAGCTATTTATTTCTGTTAGCAATAAGAATAAATTTATTATTCTTGAACAAGCAGCTTACCTTGATTGACTACTAGAACAAAGCTCAGATGGTAAAGAGATAGGTACCGCTTCCTGGGAGAATACTGGTGACAAATTGTTGAAAGACATTGCTCGAACAGTGGAGAGATGAAGTGTGAATGACTGCCCAAGTCTCAGGATAAATTCTGCAAGTTTGGCTGAGCAGAGGACAGGTGGTGAAACACAGGGGTGGGTGATGGAGTGGTGGGTTATGAGCGTCAATTCTCGATTCGGAAGGTTGTAAGTAGAGGAAAGGTGCAGGCAAGAGCTTTCTCTGAAAGTGCTATTAAAATTCATGCAAGTAATGAGGCTCCCATATTAACAAGAAAACTTTCATAGGGCAATAAGGTGTTTGTTTTGTTACCGTGAAAAGTTTTCCTGATAGCAACGAACGGTTGACCGTTTCCACAGATCAAACCGTTTCTCAACAGAAAGGTTGACCATCCTTCCGTTCCAACCGAACAGGGCCTAAGGGTCTCGACAGTTAGCCACTGACGAGACACCGATGCGCAGAGGTTTTCACTCCGGCAGGTGTATTGGTAAACACCTTGCAGGAACTGATGTGCATATGGGAGATTTCTGCTAGAGTGCGCTGACACCTATAGCCCTTCGGGGACACGGTAATGGTGCCGGGGCAGCCCTTACGGAGAAGGGCATACTCACGTTGATCGGGGTAACGTGATGGGGGAGTTTTTGGTATAAGTCTGACTACTTAAAGATTATACGAGAACTCTCCTACCCCGACACAATCAACATCCTCTCGAGAGACTTTAATTGAGATAAGCCAGAGCTTAACGATATTAAGTTTTACCGTTTACTTTTATTCTTTACACTTTTGCAAGAGCTGTGTTCGAGAGATTCGAACTTTGGTGCGGTCGCATCCTTAGGAGCCATCTACCTGAGGGAGCCCCCGTTACAGATACATATGACTTCCAGGGGGTGTGTGCTATGATCATGAGATGCTTACCTGTATCCAGGGTCAGGTACATACTGGGCACCACTTCTGACGGACCTCAGATGCTCCAAACGTCTCCCGAGAGTCCTCTAAACGAGCTGGACTTTGTTTTTATCGACAATAACGAGGCCGTCAGAGTGTGGCTTCTCTCGAACCCCGTTCAGGATGACCCTCTAGATCTCCTAGTCTATTCCTACCGTGACTCCAACGACATAGAGCCTGACAGCCCACCATTGCGGGCATACGAGTATCTCGCGGAAGATGCAGTTGAGCATTGGGGCGCTGGTGTGTTCCCCCCTCACCCAGGGAGTTCCGAGGTGTGGAAGCGCAGTGCT